CCTCCCTGCCGCCTGGGGGGCTGGTGCTCCCCTGCTCCTCTTGACAGCTCTGCCGAGTTACCTCTGCGCTGGGGCCACGTGCTGCTCCAGGAGTCTCAGCCACGGTGGCAGACATCCTGCAGGACCAGGTGGCTACCCAGGCGGAGGGCCGGTGGTCCCTGCCTCGCGTACAGAGAAGCTAGGCAACACGTGTGGTGCAGAAAGATCATGCTCTCTGCTGTGGGCAATCCCCTCCATGGGCTGGCGATGCTGCAGCACTCGGATCACGTCTGACTCGGGAAGCATGGGTTGGTGCTCGGTGCTGCAGCCTTGCAGGTGGAGTGCTGACATTGCTGGCAGTATCTCTGTTCTGAGGCAAACTTGTATCGACTTGTACAAGCATTTGCTTTATTGCTGTCTTCTGCTCTGTGCTCTTGAGGACGTTGCCTGCCTGAAGTCTGCTGCTGTGAGTGAGCAGGTATGAGTGAGGTTACCTGGAAAATTCCCTTAATGGATAAAAGATGCTGCATCCAAAGGAAGAGTTTTTCTAGTGACCTGCAGCACAGTTCTGTGTGCATGAATAAGGTCTGGTTTTGAATATCACCCTTGTGGCGTTCAGTGCAGCCTCCAAATGTTGGCTGGTGTGGTTGTCTCCCCACTGTCCTTGCCTTTCCCACGTTGAGCTCTTCAAGGCAGACCTGTGCTCTCAGGTGAACGGGAAGAGATTACTTTCTCCCTGTCTCCTTTATGCTGGAATCCCAGCTCTCCCCAGCTAGGGTGCCAAAAGCTCTGCTCCCCCCAGCAACACGGTTGTATTCTGGCAGCACAAAAAACTGTGGTGGACTGAGTCCAGAAACCTGACGATAGGAAGCAGCAATCTGGTATTTAGCACCATGATAGCTGAGCGCTCTTCTGGGCACAAGCCCTGCACTGCTGCCTCCCCGCTGGGCACAGACAGCCCATCTTCCTCACTCTTGCTGCACCTAGCCATGCTCGGCTCCAGCACTCCACTCTGGGTGGGCTTCGAATCTGCACCTGCGTGTCAGCGTAGGGGTGTGGGTTGTCCCAGCTCCTCCTATTCCACACTGCCGTGAAACAGAGACCAGCCTTGCCCTCGCCTTTGCTGGGGTTGGTTGCAGCAGTCCTGTGGGCAGGTCATCTGTGCCTCTGCCATTTGTACTGGCAGAACTGGGCAAGGGCTGAGCACTGGGATCCCAGCAGACTCTGCCCAAACTGCGTTGCACCCAGCCCTGAGCACCCAGTGGGGAGATGGGCTCTGTGCTCTGCTCTGCCCCAGCGGCTGCGCAGTGCCTCCGGGATCTGCCCCGCTTCCCGTCTGGCCAGTGGATCTTCCCTGTCCCACAGCTCGATGTGTGCCTGCCTCTCTGCTCTGCTCTTGGCTTGCCTCCTGTCCCTGCTGTGCCCCGTGTACTCCCATGCAGCACCCGATCCATACGGCAATTTCCGTGGTGGCAGGCAGTCCAAGAGCCAGAATTAGAATAGATGTCTTTTCCGATCGAAGAGCTGATTGATACAGAAAGGGGCCTGGCCAGCATAAATCAGGTGCAATGAGGAGAGAGTCTGTAGACAGCAGCACCTTGCTGTGAGCGGGCCAGTCTACGTTTTATTAGATAAAGACTGCAGACAGTTGGCAGTGACTTCTGACGTCTAGCCACAATTGTTCAGATACTATGCAATCCCTTCCTGCCCGCTCTGCTGCTGGCTGGCAGTGAGTAGCACACATGAGCAGAGAGCTGAGCTGATTTTCAGTCCCTGTTCCTACCCTCCCTGCTCCAGGTCGCCTGTACACAGCTGCTGCTTGGGTTCGTCTCTGGTGCTGGGGCCCTGGAGCGGCCCATGAAGTGGCTGTGTTAATGGGATCATAATGGGTTATGCTGTGCCGGCTGAGCCCCTGAAACAGCAGGGTTTGAGCAGACAGAGAGGAGGACAGCTGGCTTGGCTGGGAGGCTTGGAAGGAGCTCTGCTGGCTCCTTTGGAAATTACAAAGGATCCTAGGGGTATTTGGCCCTCTGGCTGAGGCAGGACCCTTCACCCATGGCTCTCAGGTTTGGGAGCAGTAACTGCTCTTGCAGGTTCAGTGCCATCTGCAGACCCCGATCCGCTCTGGACTGAGGGGACCAGGTCGGGTCAGGAAGGGGTCTCCATGTCAGCAACAGATTTTTATCCTGATTCCTGCTCTGTGCCACTCTCAGAGGGTCTTCTGGAAGGTTTTTTTCCCTCTCTCTGCTCCAACTGCATTGTTTGTCAGCATGGCTCAGACACTCGCATGCTGTTGCTCCTCTTTCGGATTCGCTGTGCCCCGGGCACGCTGGCAGGTGAGGCACCGGGCTGGCCCCGAGGTGCCCAGTGAAGGGGTGCGTGCTGGAGCGGAGCTGGCCACCTGCAGGCACTCGGGCTGCTGAGGGGCTGTGGCGCAGGGGAGCCATGAGCTCGCTCCCTGCTCCACTGTGATGGAGAGGAGGGAGGCCCCATCCCCTCTTTGGGTGGTTGCTGGAGTTGGTGCATGAACAATTGCTGTGTGAGCGGTAGCAGCCTGCCAGCACCCCGAGTGTTCATCTCGAGTGTGGAGGAGCTCACAGGGAGTCCTGCTGGCTGTGCTATGGGAGTGACTTTGCTGTGGGTTTACTTGTTCCCTGCAGACAACACGGCTGCGGTGCACACGCAAAGAATGGGCTTCAATCGCCAGGAGCAGGACGTGTACTTGCTCCCCATTTTGGTGGTGGACAGTGGCCCCCCGGCCCTCAGCAGCACGGGGACTCTGACCATCCGCATCTGCGGCTGTGACAGCAAAGGGGCAAGGCCATCCAGTCCTGCAACAGCACAGCCTATGTCGTGTCAGCTACGCTGAGCCCTGGTGCCCTCATCGCGCTGCTGGTGTGCGTCCTCATTCTGGTCGGTGAGTGTCCGCCTGTCCCCCGGCCTCCTCCTGTCCTGTCCCATCTCCTTTCCATCCAGCATCACGCAAACAAGCACAGGCAGTTGCTGTGGGCACGGTGCAGGCTCCTCTGCCACCTGTCTCCTTGCTGGTAGCTGCAGCGTGGGGGACAGGAAACCTGGTCCCTGCCAGTGGGGGACCATCGGGGAAGCTCCCATGTTTGCCCCAGCTCCCGTGCGCTGGGCTCAGCAGGGCAGCCAGAGCAGGGCTCCCTGTGCGCAGGCTGCTGCCCGGCGAAGGCTGGAGAGCTGCTGGCTTGCTCCCCGCCTTGCTGGGCGGGAGCCGAGAGCTGCTGTGCCGTGCTCACAGCAGGTGTCTCACAGCAGACGGGGTGCATGTGCATCCCAGCGCGGTGGCCGAGGGCAGCAGGTGCGGGGTGCGCAGTTCTGCTCTTACCTTGGAGCGCCGGGAGGGTCAGCGATAGAGTGTGCCTGAGAGTGTGGGCGGGACGCAGAGCTGGGGTGCACGCAAACCAGAGCATTGCCCAGGTCGGGACTGCGCCCTGAGAATGCTGCTGGCTGCCGCTGGCAGAAGCTTGTGCTGGGCTGCTATGGCACAGTGTGAAGGTGCAGGGGAGGCGTGGGATTGTGTGCGCGTGGGAAGGAGCTCTGCGAGAGGGGTGTTTCAGTGCCCTCAGGTTTAGCATAGGACAGTTGATGGGCTCTGCTGCTGAAAGCCCTGCGGCATCGGTGCTGGCTCACAGCTGGCTCCTGAGGGCTGTCCGGACATCTGCGGAAGGCAGCGCGTTGTTCAGTGAAGTCTGCTCTCCTTGGCACATCTCTGCACCTTGTCTCCTGCTGTGTCTCCGTTTAGAAAACCCTTTCCCACAGGGTGCACTTTACACTGGTTTCATTTTCCAACGCAGCGCAAACAAATTTCTGCCTAATTGCCCAAATGAATAAAGTGCACATCGGTGCTTTAAAGGTGATGGGATGAATGGATGATGATCCAGGACACATCTGCAGCTCGTTGCTCAGGCTCTGTGCCATCTGCTCCACATTCACCCTCCCAACACTTGGCTGCTGCTGCGATTCATGCACCCCCTGTACCTACTCATCTTCTGCAGAATCCATCCGTTTGTCTGTCCAGCCGTGCGTTCATCCATTTGTCCCTCCTGTCTCAGCGGTCGCGCTGCATGGGAAAGGAAGCTCCCCATCTGAAGTGGAGCCTGGGCAAACCTCTCTCCCAGCCAGTGACACAGCACAGCGGCTACTTGATGAGCCTGGCTGATAGGAACCGGCTGGCATGCCAGTGGTCTTGGCTGCGGGGCTCCCTGTGCTGGGGGGTGCTGTGCCTCTGCACCCTGCCACCAAGCATGGGTCATCCTCGCCCCCGCGGGAGCGCAGCTTGCACAAACCCCTGCACCCATCTGACCGCCTCTTCCTTTCCCAGTGCTGGTCCTTCTAATCCTCACACTGAAGCGACACCACAAAAGTCACCTGACATCCGAGGATGACGAGGACATGAGGGACAATGTCATCAAATACAATGATGAAGGGGGTGGCGAGCAGGACACAGAGGCCTATGACATGTCA